ATATTTATGTGTGTGTGATATATACACACACATAAATATATATATGTGTGTGTATATATATGTATGTATACACACATACTAGGATATATATGCATATTTTTTAAAAACTTTGTGAGAAGTTAGTTATGTAGTACAGTTATAAGAGCAGGCCATCAGCTAGGATTTAGGCTAGTGTTTTTATTTTCTGGACTTTGTACTTATAATGAGTGTATTTTATTACCCTCAGATTTGACCTTTTTACTGGTAAATAATGTAACAAAATATTCAAGCTTTGTATTTGACATAGTCACATTTCCTACTGGACCTATTTATTGAGGACAGAATGCTAGAGATGACTTTTTCTTGGTTTCTTTATCAGTAAACTGATATCAAGAAGTCATAAACATAACTATCTCAAAAATAATATGTTTTTGTTCATTTCTTAAAAGAAACACATGTTTATGGGAACTAGTGTGATATAATGGATGGTCAGACAGACCTGCGATTAAATCCCAGTTGTTCCATTTGTTAGCTGCAGACTTTGAGCAAGTTACTTGACTTCTCCAAGCCTATGTCGCACTTGCAAAATAGAATGAGTATTTACCTTTCCTGTTTATTATGTAGACTGGAGGTAACATACCTAAAGTTCTTAGTTGATAGGGGAGTTCAGTAAATGTTAGCAGCTCTTAAAATTATATTGATTGTCATTATTGTTTTTATAAAATGTATGATATTATTAAGCCTGAGAGGCACCTAGCGCAATAACTGACATGTAATAATATTTTCTCTGCCATCATCAATGTAAGTCGCTCTTTACTGTTTACAGAAAAAAAATTTAAAAGACAGGTTCATAAATATTTTGCAACTGGGATATAAAAATACATTAATTAACTTGAAATTGTATATAATCACTTGATCTGGCATATAATTAACACTTTATTAAAATGGATAATTAAGAGTTCACCCTAAAACCTTAATAAGTTGGATTAGTTGGCAGAAGTGGTAATTTAATTAGCAGTTTTCTGGTGTGTGTGTGTGTGTGTGTGTGTGTTTTTAATAATTTAATATTTGAGTAACTCCAGTTACTGTTATTAGTCACTAGTTCTTATTATGCACTGGATCCACCCAACTCTGGCTTTCAGTTTCTATAAAATATTTCCAAATGCCTGTTTTAAGGTATAATTAAATATTGTATGTCAATTATACTTTAAAAGTATAATTAATAGTTTTAGTAGCTGCCTTTATTTACTTATAAGCAACAAACTCATTATCTTTGTCTTCTTAAGTTGGTTAAATGAAGATGCTTTACTTTTTTTCATTATTGATTTTTCAAAAGAGAGGAAGGTAGAGAGAGAAAGATTGATCATTTGCCTCTTGCATGCAACCAGGTATCAAACCCACAATCTATGTATGTGCCCTGACCAGGCATCAAACCCACAACCTTCAGTGCACGGGATGTTGCTCTAGCCAACTGAGTCATACTGGCCAGGGCAAAATGCAGTACTTTTAATGTTAGGTTAACAAAACCTATCTTCATAGTGCATAGTTAAAATTGTAAATAATGGTCAAATAATTATAAATTCTGAATTGCAAAAGTGCAGATTAAGGAGATTTTATTTTTCTTTGGCGGGAAGGGAACTAATGTTTACATGAAATCTGTAACAGTGTATTTTTCTTAACTTTGCATTTAAAATATTTTGCATTTATGGTCTCCTTCAAATTAAGCATTTCTGCTCTTTTATGAAATTGGTTTAAGCATTTTGTGTGTTTAACCTTTGATTTGAACACTTTGCTCCTTTTTGATATTTAGTCATGTCTTGCTATTTTTAAGGTTGACTCATTTTCAGTAGCCCTTTTGTTCCTTATTGTGTACTTAGGCCCTCTTAATAATATTTGATATTTCCTCTTGTTTTTTACCTAAATGTGTTGATCTTACTTCCTTACACAGACTGCTATAGTGTTTCTGAAAGAATTGGATAGCTTTTTCTTACTATATTTGCAGGGCTGCCTCATTACAGCCTCTTTCCCATTTTGTTCCCCCTGTCTTCTCTGCACACCCATCTTCTAAGAAATAAGTGGTTCACATTTTAGATTAATTGTCCTTTTAGTCATGATCATTTATTTTTTGTAAATTTCAGGGTTAGAATGGCTGAACACGGAGGGTCCTATTTCTGTTTACAAGGACCTGGGCGGAAAAGTGGTCATCCTGGATTTCTTCACCTACTGCTGCATAAACTGCATTCACCTACTGCCTGATCTCCATGCCTTAGAACACACCTACTCGGATAAAGGTAATTGCCCTTTAATTGGTTCTAACAGACAGACACTGGAAGAGTAGCTGACTCATTTCCTCACAGGCGAATGAATGTTTGGCAAGACTTCAGTAATTCTAAAATAATTTCTAATCTATGAATTAAGGACTCCATGTACCTTTTCAGAAGAGTTAAATGTAGTGATACTAGAACCAGCACTTAGTAAATTTAGTATATTTTTCTCTAAGAATAGGACATAATGTACTTTTCTCAGGATCAAGTATTTTAAAAAGTTAATTTTATATATCTAGATTTACCTGAGTTTGTTCTATAAAAAAATTAAATGTATGACTCTGATTTTATACTCTTCTCAAGAACTGTGATACAAAGGTTTAAAGTTCTTAATAGGAAATGTGATTATTTCTTTCATTTTGAATGACATGGACATGAACAACAGTGCAATACAGAATACTATAACAGGTGCTCTTTCTTTGACCTGCTTTATGAAAAATATCTTCCAAAACACTAGGAAATCCTCTTTTATGGTATTGCAAATTCTGAAGATGTAAGAGATTAATCTTAATATTTACTTTAGAAGTTTGAGATTTTTTTCAGAGACTTTTTTTCCTGTTTACTTTTTCCTAAAAGAGAGCATGGGGGGTAAATGAAACTTAAGGTTCCATTTAATTAGGTTGAAATTAATTGAAGCTCTTCTCTTAATAAAAGATAAAAATGAGAAAGAGTCAATGATCTTGTGAGTAAAGATGAGAAGAGAGTATACATGTGCAAGGTGAAGGACATCTTGAAACTTAAAAAACAGGAGTGAAAGATAAAATCTTCAGTGCTAGTGAAGCTTCAGTTGCTTTTAAATTGTAATAGGTTATATCTTCAAATTGCCAAACAGTGAGATTTACCAATAACTCAAAAGTCCCAGTAGCTAAATCATGTTTTCAGAAGTTCATCTGTATTGATTTAAGAACTATGAGTATCTCTTCTCTTAGGTTTTGAATGCTGTGTCTTCTTCAAGCCCCTGTAAATGAATACATTTATTGAACATGTGTTAGGTGTAAGGTTCTCTGCTTAATTGCTGGGGAAATATGTATCAATGTATCAGAGTTGAATGAAAAGCATTATGGAACCTGAGGAAATGACTAACTTTGCCTACAAGCATTGCAAAAGATTTCTCAGAAAAGGAGACAATTTAGATGGAACTGGGAAAAAGAGCAGCAGTGGGCTCTGCTTTAGGCCGAGGCAAGGGATTCCTAGCTCCTGGGACTGCCAGCTTCGACCATTCCCAACTCCCATTGCTGGCTCCAGCCCTACCCTGCTCACTGGCCAGGGCGGAAAAGGCACCTGATTCTCCGATCATGGCTGGGGGGCAGGGCAAAGGCCGCCTTTGCCCTGCCCCCCAGCTCTTAGCTCCTCCCTGGGTTTCCGATCACTGTCAGTGGCAGGGGGCTTCTTCCTGCTTTCCCTTTCGCCTCCCTGCATTGTGCCTACATATGCAAATTAACCGCCATTTTGTTGGCAGTTAACTGCCAATCTTAGTTGGCAGTTAATTTGCATATAGCCCTGATTAGCCAATGACCATTTTTCTCTTTTATTAGTCTAGATACCCAAATTTAGCAGAATGGCTTTTATCTAAGGAAAAGTATCCTTGTTTTGTAAGAAAACAATTAGGAAAACTTGGCATATTTTAAACTGTGATTACTTAGTATGTGTTAATATATAATTAAATTAGATTTCTAAAAACGTAAATGCCATAATACAGCTGAATAAATGCTGGAATTCTCATCATGTAGCATATACTATTTTGCTTTTTTATACTTTATAAAAAATTAGAAAATGCATTTTTTATTTTATTCTGAAACTAAACTTTTTAATGAGTCAATATGTAATTTCATTTTGTGTCAGGATTCCTAAAACCACCACCAGGTTTAGGAGGACTCACAGGATTCAGCAAAGGGAAAGGACACTTGGGGCTAAGTCCTTCCTACTTTTGTTCTGTGTGATTAAATACACAGAAAAAGGGAACTGTCAGAAGAGGGCGCTCTCAAGTTGAGAGCCCTGTCCATAACATGAAGGGAATGTTAAAAACATTTCCATATAAAACCTTAAAAAGTTGAAAATGTGACTCAGAATTGAAATGCTGATGAAAATTCTCACTTAAAAAATGATCACAATATTGGCAAAAACTGTAAATTTTTCAATTGAATTACATATTTTCAAACATTTTAGGAATAATGAAAAAGCAACTTGTATCAAAATTCAAAACCTAAACAGAAATGAACCAAAAAGAAAAAAAAAAAAGAAGAAGAAATGTCCTGATTGAACTCAGAAAAGAAATAGAAGGAAAAGGTCAGAATTATATTAGAAATGAGTAGTAAATTGAGCCAAAGGGACAATAAATTCATGTAAAAATGGAATAAGGGGATGGAAGTAAAGCAGGGGATAAAACTTGGGGAATAAAAATGAGCTAAAGAAAAATAACAAGAGTTAAAAAATGATTGGATTGGAAGACAGAAGAAGAGGTCCAACATAAGACTACTTGGAGACTCTGAAGAATAAAATCGAAACAACTGACCGGAACTAATATCTAAAGTTAGAATCCAAGAAAATGTTCTAGAAATAAAAGAAACCTTGAATGTTAATTTTTTTTAGACCTGTGTTTAAATGCAGTCCAATATACACACTAATTTAGTTCTGCCTTTTTTATTGTTTTTTTCCTCTGGACTATTTATATTTAATGAGCCAATGCCTAATATGTGGATGATGCTATTCAGGCTTTAATATTTCATAATATTTAACTTTTTTCATTTAGATGGTCTTCTGATTGTTGGTGTTCACTCGGCTAAGTTTCCAAATGAAAAAGTCCTGGATAACATTAAGAGTGCTGTTCTTCGATATGACATCACCCACCCTGTGGTTAACGATGCAGATGCCTGCCTTTGGCAAGAACTGGAGGTGTCCTGCTGGCCAACTGTGGTCATTCTTGGACCCCGTGGAAACATGTTGTTTTCGTTGATTGGAGAGGGACACAAAGAGAAATTGTTTTTGTATACTTCAATAGCTTTAAAGTATTACAAAGACAGGGGACAGATCAGAGCTAATAAAATTGGAATAAAACTCTATAAAGATTCTTTGCCACCTTCACCATTGCTGTTTCCTGGCAAAGTAACAGTAGACCATCTTTCTAAGAGATTGGTAATAGCAGACACTGGACATCATAGAATTTTGGTCGTCTCGAAGAATGGACAAATTCAGTACAGCATTGGAGGTAAAGTTTGTTTTTAATTATGATATGTAGTGTATTTTTAGTGAAAAAAAGTTGAAAGAAATATATTGAAATTTATAAATAAGAAGTAATTATAGCACTATACATTGACTTTAACGTCGTGAAATTTGTTAATGTATGGTACCTAAAGTAATCTCTTCTCCCTCAAAAAAAACCCCTACAAAACCCCATTCAAATCAAAAGGAGGAAATCTTTAAGTAATTTTTAAAGTATATTTGTATATCTTGTTTTTTCAAAAAAACTACCACACTTATTGTATCTTATGAAAGTACTAGTGGCCTGGTGCACGAAATTTGTGCAGGGGGAGGGGGTGTTCCTCAGCCCGGCCTGTACTCTCTCCAATCTGGGACCCCTTGAAGGATGTCCTACTGCCGGTTTACAGGGATTGGGCCTAAACCGGCAGTCGGACATCCCTCTCACAATTTGGGACTGCTGGCACCTAACCGCTCACCTGCCTGCCTGATTGCCCCTAACCACTCTGCCTGCCGGCCTGCTCGTCCCCAAATGCCCCTCCTGCCAGCCTGATCACCCACAACTACTCTCCCTGCTGGCCTGCTCACCCCCACCTCCCCTCCCCACTGACCTGCTTGCCCCCAACTGCACCCCTGCTCGCCTGCTCACTCC